GGTTCAGACAGCGCCGCGGGAGAGGGTTCGTTTCGAAACGCGCACCCCGAGCCTCGCCCGCTGACGGTGCTGGGGTGAAAAAGCGGCCCTGAACTCGCCGTCAGGCGAGACCACCCGCACACAGAGCCTGTTCGTCCGCACGCAGCCCTTGGCGCGGCGAGACTGTCCTTCCCGGCAGTCACGTCCGCCCCAGGGGGAAAAACACGGATCTGAAGCTGGTTTCCTGAGTTTTCTCTGCTACAGATGCACGAACGGACTGCTAAGGGGGCCTCTCGCAGAGCTACTGGAGCTGGACCTTCTGGTACTCCAGGATGTTTGAGATTTCTGCGGCCTCTCTTCATTTCTAATTGGAGATACACGTGCCAGCACGCATGACAGACGGACCTACGCAGAACTAGCTGAAGCACACCTGTAGTTAGTTGTTCCCTGGAGTTATTCCCTGGTCCCTCTCTCCAGAGGCACCTCTTTCTTTAGTGTCTTGAGAAGCAAGGCTTCCAAATGGCAGTTTCTGCTGGGACAAGAAAAAAGTCGCAGGAGTTGGATTTTGTAGTGTTTGTCTTTGCTTAGAGATTTGTCTCTGCTTGAAGGAGTGTGACAAGTCCAACTAGCAATAAGCAGGTGTCATTCACACTGAAACAGGCGTGAAAAAAGCTGGATATGATACATGTTTTTAATGCTCAATATTTCGAGGAGGAGGGGCGTGGTTCAGGAGGCTTCATTGATAAGTATTAGAAAATGTTTAGACATAGTCTGGGCATTTTCAATGCCAAAAAAAAAAAAGCAGCCCATCTCTTCACTTTTAAAACTATAGGAAAGAGATCTGGAAAACAGGACTTTCTCATGCATTGCACTCATAAACTCTCGTTGTCATATTTCATACCTTTGTACTGATGATTCAGTTGTTCTCCAGTCCAGGTCTTTATCAAAGCAGCATTTCTGAAGTGTGAACAAGAAGAAACTTAATGATCCTTAAAGCCCATATATCAGAAGGAATACCAAAGTTCACGACATTATTAAGATCAATATATTCCACGTGTAGATAAGAGCTGAACTATTGTTCCCTTAACAATTAAGCATATAACCTGAAAAAGACCATTTTGCTTAGTTCCATTTTTGAAATTAGGATTCCCTGGATGGAAAAAAAAAAAAAGCCATAGCATGTATAATTTTCTGGGAGTTTTTATGCTGAAAATGTTTTACGTTAGGTGAGATTTGCTCAGTGTTGACTATAACAGCATTTTATTAACATCTGAAATATTTAGAAACAGGATGTTTAATTAGTAAAAAGTCAACACTTGCAATTTAATACTTCACATTCTTCTTGGGTTTTTGCTTGGTTTTTGGTATAATATGAAGACAATATATTATTTTTTAAAAGAACTATATTCAAAGTTAAGTCAGATGGTGCTTTAGAGAATATTTTCGTTTGTGGGGAAAAAATATCAAAGACTAATAAATGTTATCACTCATTTAAGAGCCTTCTTCAGAAGGCCTAGCTGTGTTTTACAACACAATCAAATATCATCCTTCCTAAACAACACTATAGCTTATAAAATACTTTCTTCAATTAAATTGAAGGAACTGACAAAGGTGAGTATTATACATTTGATTTACAAATACAAAAATAGATGCCCATAGAAACGTAAACTTGCAGTCAAAAAAAAAAAAACCTTTAATGACCTTCTCTGCTTTTTCTGGAGCGGTGGTGGTGAACTTCAGCCTTGTAGCTGGTGTGACTTGCTCTTCGTGGAGGCTTATCAATGCTAGAGAACACTTACTCTCTGCTTCATAGAGAGAGCACAGATTTCTAAGACAGGGAGAACTTTTCAGGACTACTGGAAGACGTCTGTGCAGACATTCAGAAAGTCTCTTAATGCCCAGTGTACTCAGAGGTGCTAACCCTGAAAGCTCAGCCATCGCATTTGATCATGCCCATGACTGTATTTGAAACAGCTTGGAAGTTTTCAACACGCACTACGTATTCATTTTTAGAGAAAAAGAAAGCGGGAGGTAAATCTGACACATTTCTTAAACCAGATTATTTAAAATTCGACATGGTGTTCTTATTTTATTAAAACCAGAGATGGCAAAACATAAAAATATATCTGTTCAGAGGACAGAATAAAGAAATATGGGTTTTAAAAATTACCCATCTAAATGTCTCAGGCTTTTTTCTCACACAGGAGAGAATGGGAAGAGTCAGTATAACTATTCCTGTTTGTCAGACAAGAACCCAGTACAGCAGGCCTTACCACTTTGCTCAGTCACAAATGGGAAGAGCTGATTGCACTTCACACACTAGTGCTCAAGCCACCATATACTTTCTTCTGTCAAGGTACTCTCCTCTTCCCTTTCTCTGTTGTTCACTAGGCTGCAGCTCCAAGAATGTCATTGCATCTTCTGTAACCAGGAGGAAATGGCCCGCCTTTTGTAGGTAATTAGGTAATTACCAATTCAAGCCAGCTGGGTGATAGCCATATTTCTCCTCGAGTTAACATCCAGAAACTCTTCCTCCCTCTCCCTTTGACATTGCCTTCAACCTTTCTGTACTGAATGATATTAATAAGAGGTGGATGGAGAAGAGGGAGTGTTTATATTTACTTGTAGCCTAAGTTTAGAAACCAAACTCTTTAACAGGCTAATGCTGGGGGTGATGTGAGTAGAACCTATGTTACGTATTTATAAAGGATTTATCTCCTAGTCTATTTCTTCAAGCATCTAACTTTTTTTTTCATTTTCTCATATGAAACAGTATATTTTGTCTAATTATCGTTTATAATAAAGAAGTTTCAGCTGGGAAATTTAAAAGACCTTTTTAAGATACATATTTTTTTTCTGTAAAGACCAAGCCAGCATATTGTAGAAGCAGTAAGTAGAATTTGGACCCAGAGCCAACGAGAACTGTGCTGTTTGTTGATTTACCTTTTCATTTCTAGTTAAATAGAAATTGTTCTTACCAAAGGGAGAGGAGAGCTACAGTGCGTAGGCTAGGTAAACATGTTCAAAAGGCCTGAAAAATGAGAAGGACATAAACAGAGCAACTTCTATACATCTGTACTGTAATATAAAACTATGATAACCTCAGCTCCTTTCAAAGACCTTCCTCAGTGACATGCAGTACAAGTAGTATCGAGAGGATCTAGCACTGTATTGCTGGTTAATAACCACACAGTCTTGCTGGTGTGTGGTCCTGCTTTTACTCCTGGTGGTCTTGGCTTATGATCTATATCGAGCTGCCTGCAGTTGGAGTAGTATGTCCATCGTTGAAGATACCTGTGAAATCTACATAAGACAAACTACAAAAAATGCAGGTTTATATTTCCCATATTTACAGGTTTCTAACTCTAGTTAGGGAAGGTAGACAAGGAAATGCTCTGTGAAAAAGAGTGTGTGGATCTGAAAGTTTCCTGTGAATGTTTTGTGGGCTGTGATTTTGAAATGTAGTAAGTTTTTGAATGCAGATACAGTGGTACCTCTGGCACCTACAAAACAGACTTCAGAAACTTTTTTCTTGAAGATTGGTGATCTGAGAGTGTACAGAATCTGAAGTCCTTGTAGAGTAAATGAAAGTGTGGAGTTAATATTTTGCTGATAAAGCCAGAAAAGAAAGTCAATATTATTTGACTTGAAAAACAACCACAAAACAATTTTCACTAACAATGACATGAATACCTTGAAGTACAAGAAGTACTTTCAGTAGGAAAATTATTCCATGTAAACATGGATTTGCAAGTATGGTCTCCTCATTTGCACAATGTAATGGATTAGCTAGAATGTCTCGGGATTGTGTTATTACCCTCTGATGGACAGGATGAAGGTAAGACCTGCCTGAGCATGCCATAAGCATTACATGTGGCTGGTGTGCCCTATCAGCACTTCAATCAGACACACACAGAGGGAAGGAGAACTTAAAAAATATAGCTTTCTATACCAGTTCTTCTAAATTCTCTTTTCAAGAATTCATCAGGAGTGTCTTGGGTTTTTAAAAAAGAAAAAAGGCTCGTGGTTTTAAATAAATGGATCTCTGTTCCCCATTCATGATTTCAGTTTTAGATCACAGGTATAATTCATCTATCAATGTAGTAATACCCACTTCAGGATTTTTTGCACAGAGAGCTTGCAGATGTGATCCCCACTGGTGTATGGGCCCTCACTTTTCAGTGGATCAGGCTGATGGTAAACAATATTTGGTGATGGGGGGATTTTAACATCTTTCCAATTAGCTGTTTCATAGAACATGTTCAGAGGTGTAATAATGAAGGATCCATTACTCCAAGTACTTCATATGCCCCATATGAATATAAAGCCAAGAATCCAGCAAGGTCATGGGGGAAAAAGAGGCAGGCACTTTCCTGTAGGCTTTTATCCAGGATCGTTGTGAAAGGTCTCAAGCCGCTGAACCTCTAGTTACTGCCCTGTTCCTCTTTCCCACAGCTGATGCAGAAGTTTTTTCCTGATATTCATTCTGAATATGATTTTATCAAACAAGCTGCATAAAGAAATATAATAAGGTGCAATAGAGCTAACCAAATAGATCTCTGGCCACCATACACAAGTTTATCTTTAGAGTATATGTTATAATAGAGCTAAAGAGTAATAGAGGAGACCTAATGGACAAAGGTTGAAACAAAAACAGGGGCAACTTCAGTGGGCCAGGGTTATCCTGCAATAATCTTTACCTCTTTTTTTTTTTTTCATTGCCAAATAATCTCAAGTTAGAAGTCAACACTTCCTAAATGAGAATCGTAAGATGGCCACCATGTGGAAGGGGGTTTGTGTTTATGCCTCTGAAAAAAGTCTGCCTTTGTTCTGTATCATCCACTGTCATCAAGGCACATTGTAAACCTGGCAGCCTGCTTTGGTGTGCAGGCACTCAATACCAATACCAGAAACATACGGTGAATACGGATGTACTTATGTTGGCAAGAAAGATTTTAAATAAATCAGAGGATTAGATTTAGGTACTGAAATGCAGTTAGGCACTTAAATGAAGCTCTTGAATTTCAGTTAGGCTAAGAGCATCTACAGCTTCCATTTAAAGTCACAGGGGATCTTGCAGGAGGATTCGAGGCAGATGTGGATCCAGTACCCTAAATCCTTAAATGAGAAGAAACTGCAATTCCTTATAATGAATGTTTAGATTGAGTAAAGAGTTTTGTTTTCTTTTAAGTACTTAGTTGTACAAAACAGTATACCAACAATAAATCTAGAATTATCTTAATAATAAACCATCACAGAAGATGTGGGATAGCAAGTGCTGTAATAAAACATGAACTTAGAATTCTGCCTGTCGGTAGTTTAAAGCTTTTCCTTCTCTGTAAGTAGCTCCAAGTGTTACTGCAACTACTACAACGAGGATTCCTAATTAATAGAAGAGACATTAGCAATTTATTGTTCAGTTGCATAGGCGTACCTCCCTTCCGCACAAATAGCTTCTTGGCTCCTAAAATCCATAGACTTTAAGAGCTCTGTTTCATCAGCTTGGCACTAAGCTAATTGCGTTTTCTATAGCCTAGATAAAAGGCAGGTCAGAGGGTTCTGAGCACTGTTTTTCTGAGGATAGCTTATGTCCATGACTTGCTGATTTTTGCCATTAAAGAGCTTCAACACAGCTTCCAGAGACAATGCTCATGGTGACAGAGCAAACTCCTTCCTGTGCGGTAGCTGACCCCTCATCACAGCTGTGCCATCCTACCCTTTGTCGGCAGTGAGAAAATACCTTAAGAAAATCCTGCACCAAGCACCATTACATTTCATCCCAGCTTGATACAGAGCGTAACTATTGCCCTCTGAGAAGCACGGCAGTGTGGGCTTGCCTCCTCGATGCCTTTGCTTCGCTTCCTCTCTTCCATGTCTTCTTCCTACCTGTTCTCTAAGCAGCGCATCTCATGGGAGGGAGCCTCCGGCACAAGTTTTTGTCTGAAAAATAAACATGCTCTTAAAGCCGGTTCCTCCTTCAGCCCTAATAGAGATCTTCCAGACTGCCAAGTATCAAAGTAGATCTGAAAAGTCAGAAACATGCTGTTTTGGACATGTGTAACTAGTCACAGGACAGAGCGAAGAACCTAATGCTGAGCACAGTCACGGGGACCCAGACAGCTTTTGCTGAATGTTTTCTGGCTTGCACATGCAGTCCAAATTCTAAAAGTTTTAGAGGAACTGCCTCTACCTCCACCCAAATGCAAAACATATCAATGAAAAAATCAGGATCTCAAACTGCTTGGTGGATGCCATCAGAAACGACACACCACGCTAGCTGAATACACAACGTGGAAAAGGCAGGTACTCCGGTACACTGTATTAGAAGAGTTTCTAGAAGGAAGCTGAGATTTTTCCTTTACCTAGTGGGCATCTGTCTGCGTTCTTCAGTCCTCAAGTAGTTCCCTTTCAGCTTGAAATGTTGCTGCTAACTGCTGTACTGGTTTAAGAGTGTGCTCTTTGCTTATTAATAAGTAATACCTAACAAATAATGTCAGTCATTCCGTGCTTTTGGATGTATACAAGGCTCTGGCTGAGATCACGAGGAATCTTGGAGATATCTAAATGAAGAATTTGAGCCCGTATATGCAATCACTGTATCTGAAAGATTTTTCACTTGGTTTACAGAAATAAATTGTTGAATGCCTTGATTACTGTGAAAATTCCTCCTGCACACAACAGACCGATGTTGCTGTGCCAGTGAACAAGCTATCAGTTTCAGGGCTGTACCAGGACAATGAAAACAAGCTCTGTCTATACCAGTAGTGTGAGCAGTACCAGGAAATTATTTATTAAATCACATTACACTAAACCAGAGAGCCATTGATTGTAATTGCCCTCTACTGATCTCCTGTCTTTACAGCTCTCCCTGAATGTACTGTTTACTCGGGTACTCTTACTTTGGTAAGAGTTGCCATATATATGACTTTAAATCTTACCTTGTCTGATTCCTGACATGGTTATGAGGAGGTGTCCAGGCAAGGGCTTCGTTGCTCTAAGCAGCAGTAAGTACAACTGTGCAGAGTTGAGTGCTGGCCACATAAATGTCACCAACAAAAGTAGTGCAGTAGGACAGCCACAGCCATACAGCAGGAGTCTGCGGGAGGATCTACCATGTCACACGTGAGTGAGGTGTTACTGCCAGTATCATAAGGAAGGTATTGCTGGTAGTAGCTGGTGGTATCACTGCTGTGATTCCTGGTGTTTTGGTTTTCAATTCCAGAGACAATGATTTTAAAACTGAGCATAGAGAAACAGAGATTTACTGCCATCCGCATTACAGAAGACTTTCGAGTTTTCCTATTGGTAGGAATACATTTAGGAGAAAAAAGTAGAGCAAAATAAGAAAAATTATAATATATTTCCACATTGCCATTGATATTGAAAGCAAGCTGGAGCGTGCAGTCTTTAATGCAGAGAAAAGCTATAACTTGTTTGCAGAATTCTACACTGTCATTACTCTCTGACAACTTACCAATTCCATCAATTTTGTCTGATTTCAACTGGAACACAGAATACCTAGCACCTCTTAGGACAGGGCCTTTTCCAACAGCAGGTGGGATATGTTTTCTTTATTTCACTCTGCTCTTTTTAGAGTACTTTCCTTCACTGTTAAGAGGTGAAATAGCATAAGACAAGTATTACTAAACACTCTTCAAGGTATAAGAGAATAATAAACCTCCACTTCCAAGCTCTGTCATATAAAAGGCAGAGTCTAGACGCTCCTACAATCTTAAACACATTGACCTTGATGGCATTGCTCCAAATCTACATTAGTGCAAGCAGGATGAGAAACATGGATTCATCTACGATAACTACAACTCTGTTGGCATGACTTTGCTCCTCGTTCAAGGGGGAATCACATGACACCATTAATGACAGGCATGTCCATCAAGGAAGCCTGCTGCAATTGTATTTGAATTAAGTCACTCACAAGAAAACTGTAGCACAAGCAGTGTACATAACCTACTTTGTTATATAATCATGATGCTTTGAAATCATGTGTTCTCTAAAGGCATTTTATAAACAGAAGGCAATAGAGTATGGAAACTGTCAAATAGACAACAGAAAGCAGAGTGACATTTAAATAGGATAGCAACAAGAGAACCTGAGGAACAACATATATACTTCTACATGAATGGTGAAAGTTTAAGCGGTAAGACAGTGAGCTGAAATGACTAGCCTTCAACGAAGACACCTACGTAACAGGCAGATTGGTAACTGGCTAGAAGAAAGATAACTGATTAGACATTGTAATACAAGGGTACAGAGCCTACAGGAAAATATAAAAAAAAGAGGTCATGCTGGTAGTGGAATACTGTTACATACTTTTAAAGGCTAGTATTAAGCGAAAGTAATGAACTAAACACCTCAACGTGTAGCATGGACCAGTGTAGCAATAATACAGCGCTGGGTCTGTGATGTTGGCTGCCTGGCCAGGGTAGTAACAGAGACATCAGCAAGGCAGCGGGGGACGTAAATGCAACAGAAATGGCAAACCACCATTAGATGATGTAGGTGAGACGAATGTCACTCTGTGATATTACCCGGAGATTGGAGATGGTGATGGGAGCCCACGGCAAAAGGGTCAGCCCTTGGCTTGATCCGCAGTAGCACACGCTGCCTGCTCTGTTATCCTATAACTGATGAGCTGCCCTGTCAAAGCGAAGGAAAGATTTTTCTTGTCAGCGGCCATGCCCAGGGTTTCCTACGAAAGGCTTGGCCTTTTACCATACTGGGCTCTTCCATACTCTGTTATATAATTTCTTTTCAAAGCTCACGTTTTTAAAGGTGGATTTATTGAATAATAATCATGTGTATATATATCCTTAACATTAAAAGATTGACAAAAAAGTTAAAGTTTCATCTAGGAGAGTGGCATGGCTGAAATATCTTGTGTCTTCACTTTAACTGGTAAGCCACACTCACTTCCCAAGCTATGCTACGTGACTAGGTCTTTCTTTTTTTTTAAATATCATTTGCTGATGAATAATATTGCAGGATGTTCTCAACTGGCTCTGCTCTTTATTATCCTCAAACTATATACAGAGCAAAATATTGTAACTTAGTGTGAAATACTTGCAGTTTTACATCTTCATTCTTACCTAGTGAATATCTGAAACAAAATGGTAATGAACAAACCAGCCATGGACAATCTAACACCAATGTAAAAATTATACTCCAAAGGCTTTGCATATTTATATTTCATCTGAGAGGCCTAGAAAATTATTTCTATCCATTATAAGATGAGAAGAGATAAATTTCTTCCTAAAATTGATGTTTCTAGTTGCACAGAGAAACAAAAATGTTTTAGTAAAGTTATGACTGTTGCTAGCTACTGCCAAAATTTTCAGGTCACACAAAATTATTCTGGACCTCAAAACTAGAGAAGCTTGTGAAGGACTCCAAAAAGAGACTTAACAGTGTCAATCAAATATTTAGCAAAATAGCAGCTTAAATTATTCATAGAAAAAGGCAAGGTGGTACAGATTGGAAAAGTAGCTTCAAGTTTTCATACTGATGTGTATTCTGAATTTTGGCTTCTGAGGTAAGATGTTGTAAAGAATTACAAATCGAAAACGATCTTTTTTGTGTAGTGACAATAAAGCAGCAAATAAATGTAAATATATTTAATGAAACAGAAAATACTGTTGTCTTTGCATAAACGGATGCGAATCTTCTCTAGAATGCAGTCATTTTGTGCAATAAGGACATGCATAAGATGAAGGGAAATATGGAAACAAGTAAATACTACAAGTATGGAAATGCTGTTCTATGAAGACAGATTAAAAAGAAACTCTGAAATCCTGGCACTGCTGAAGTCAGTGACCACAGATACGTGATTTTACCCAGGGAGTGTTTTGTTTAGAAAAGCTGAAAAAATACTGAAAGAATAACGATGTCAGAGACAGACAGTCGTTCCTAGTCTTGTTAGTACAAGAGAGCAATACATAAAACTTAACGGTAGCAGGCTTAGTATTTACAGAGTGGTTGCTTTTTATAGGCATATAAATAGAGGAAGCAGTTAATGCGAAGTACTTTGAGTTATTTACCCAGCACAAGGCAGTGCCACAGCCAGCCCGGATGCCAGGCTGCTCTGCGGTCCATCTTGGGGCACTTTGGGCTTTAGACATACACTCATTTAACAACCAGCTGCAGCAATGGAGGTGCAGAGCTGGAGGCTGCCACGGCTGAGCAAGGGGAATGGATTGGGCCATCCCCTCCCTGCTGCTGGGATGCACGGGCAGGTGGGCACAGCCACAATTTGTGTTGGAGGAAGCCAGGACTCGTCAATACCTTTGGCTTTCCAGCAGCCTGGGGCCAACTCGCATGTTCCAATTTGCCCGCTCTGCCACAGGTCAGAAACAAGTACGTGGGGACATCCTAAACTATGTCTTCTAGCTCAACATGCTGTGCCCTTGTGTTCACAAGCTGGCCTTACAGTTGAAAACAACTAAACAAGTGGAGAAAAAACCCAAACTCTTCTCGTTCAAGAAAGGACAACATCCTACCTTCAGGACAGCAAAATTAGTACTATGATTACACCTGCATCTCAAGAACTGGTCTCCTTTTGCACAGCTCCCTGTGCTCCAGTCATTGACCGCGTAGTCCCGAAAGACACAGGCGTGAGCACGCAGCTGCAGTTGGGATGTGTTGTGCTGTGGACTGGGATTGCAAAGAGAAAAAGTGGCTACAGAAACATAAACGGACATGCACCAGCAAACGACGTGTACTGGCAATTATCCTTAGATAATCCTTAGAGCTGACAGCTACTAAGGGATTTACGGGGTTTCCAGTAAACCTTATGAACAGTATCAGCGACAGCATAATTTGGCATTTTGAACTTACTTTGTGTGCCTTTCTCAGTCAAGATTGCCAATGAAATTACCCATTTCTGTGAATTATTCAGGTAATTAGGGTTCAGACGCACGCTGGCTAGGCATTAAACAGCTGCCAAATGAATTCTGTGTAAGCCAAACAGCTTTCAGATATCAGTAGCATTAAATTACTGCCCGGAACTGAATGCACACTGCAACAGGGAGCAAACAATGATAAATGCAGTGAACCATGCCCTCCCCTCCCGCAGCACAGCGGTGCTCCTGCGGTCGTCTGTCAACCTGCACGCAGCCGTTTTCACAACGTACCTCTGCAGGGTACTGCGATTAGAAATGCTTTTTAGTAAGCAACAAGCAGCTTGAAGTGCAAATAAGTAGCGAAAGCAACTAGTCACGGTACTAGGCAGTTCAGCTAAAAATGAGGAATAAAAGTAGGAGTAAAAAAATGAATTATAAGTTTGTTTCAGTGGTGCCCTTAGAAATGACAGGTGTTTCCCAGATCACTTAACTATATGGATCCATGATGATTACTGATCTATCATATGCATGTATTTCAGCTTAAAACCTTTGTTAAATATTGTAAGAAGAATTCAACTAGTTTTCTGGAGACACCATGCTAAATGTGACTTCATACTATCTAAAAACTCATTTATTTAGGCAAATGAGCACTCACATAGAGCATTTCCTGCAAGAAAGTGGTAGCAACTGGAATCAGTTCCTTGGAGGAGGAAATCAAAACGAAACACACAATGATTTTAACTGGAAGCAGGAGTTAAAACATCGTATGAAAAATGAACACCTTCCACATCCATGTGCCAGTCATGCTGACTTTTTCTTGCTTTCAAAATTTTTGATAGTCTTCTGGAAAGAAAAATTGCCTGCCAGGGACCTGGCTTTTCTAATTCTTGATTTAGGACTAATCTACCGTAGGACAAATCCACTCTGGTGTACTTACAACTTTTTATGGAATACGGTTTTGCTTGCAAAAGTCCCAGTTTAGCAGTACGGAGTCAGTAACATCAAGTGTTAAATACAAAAGTTGAAAAATGTTTTCTATGCCACATTATCTAAATGCCCTTCACTTATGTCACCTACACATCCCACAAACTCTCGCAACTGCTTATTGCCAGAAATCAAGGCAGTGTGCCAAAAAATACCCCTCTGCTTGAGTCTCTTT